TTATTTATTATTTATGTTACAAATATTTCGATTATCATTATTTGCGAAATTCTTGGCTTGCGATGGAATACGCAGCTGGAAGCACTTGTCATGGATATTATGATGATGATTATTCAAAAAGTTACAAAAAGAGGGGAGGTCATCTTGACGCGAGACACAGTAAAGAAAAAGACAAATGTGAGGTTGGACCATGGGGTACTAAACCGTGGGTTGTAAAAGTCTCAGACTTAATGTGGGATTGTGATGATTATAAAGGTTTTAAGCACCAGACTTGTAAAGGTGAAGATATTTATAAAGACATGGTAAAGACCTACGACCACGATAAACTTCCGAAACGACTTAAAGACCAAGGACCACCATCTGGGTTATACCTGGTAATTGTTGGAGAAAGTAAAGGACGCAAGCGTGCTACTTCCATATCAGCTGCTTCTATTAATGTAAATAATGAAGGAAACACAATAGCACCTCCACCTCTTCAACCAGCTCCTCAACCAGCTCCTCAACCAGCTCCTCAACCAGCTCCTCAACCATCTCCTCAACCAGCTTCTCAACCAGCTTCTCAACCAGCTTCTCAACCAGCTCCTCCGCCAGTTACAATAACACAATCTACAACAAGCACTACAACAATTACAATAACAGCAACTTCACCAACTGGATAAAATAAAATAATGATCTTAGTTTTATATTTTAATCAAAATTAACTAGGAATGATATATTCATTATCATATAGTTATTAATATTATTTATATTATTTGTATTATTTATATTATTTGTATTATTTGTATTATTTATATTATTTGTATTATTTATTAGTGTTGATTTACAATATTGCGCTATCAAGACATTTTTAGTATAAAAAGCAATTACTAGTCATTTATTTATTCATTTAGAATAGTGTATTTAAAACTATGATCATAGGTACATATTTTATTACATTGTTTTTATAGTACATGTATATTGATTTTATTATTAACACTAATTGAGGCTTTAGTGTTAAAATGTTTAAATAAAAGACGCATTAATTGTTTTTTTTTACATTAATACTGTAATATTGATAATGTATTAAAATAATATTATTATTTAATGTTGTAAATTGATCCAGAAATGGATTAATGTTATTGTACGCATATAATAGTAATGGTAATGAATTTTACAAAAATCTGGATTCATTATCGGCTATAAATCTAGACATACATGCTAATATGTACGCGTGTAAATAAATTCAGCTATGAATTTTCTTTTAATCTGCAATGTAAAATGAAGTTCCCTTTATAATTAGTAAAATTTTCAGTTTTTGGGCTCCTTTAAATAACTTATAAATTAATTTTAACTAAAATATAGGAAATAAATATGGAAATTTAAATAGAATTAATATTTATCATTATGATATATTTAATCTTATATAACCGTTAATAGAATATTTATACAGTATTACTTTAATGGAGCATGTAATTGATTACTATAATAATCGTTAAAAATTACTTAATGGTGTGTTCCGTCAACAATTCAGAGGTAAGCTCTATTATTAAAATTAAAATTCTTCTATTCATTAATAACAGTTTTAATATACAAAATTTTGTCAATTGTTTCATTAGTGCTAAGTTTAAAAGCGCTAAAGATATTCGTGAAATTTAGATCATTATATTAAACAAACCAATTTTTTTTTTTAAAACAAATTATAACAAATATCTATAACTATTACATGCTAATAATTAATTGATAGTAATTTTATTAATATTTATATACTTTATTAATTTTTTAACCTAGTTATTAGGCGACTTATGGAGAAAATCTTAATACAGCAAAATCAAAGAAATAAAGCAATTGATACTAATAAAAAAACAATAATAAATATATAAAAAGACACTAATATGTAAAATTATTCTTGATATATATGTATGCAGTGCATAGATAAGCAATAGTAATATGCATAGAATAGTTAAATAGAAAAGATAGGATGCAAAAAATTACATGTCAAAATCTCATTTTTACTTTGGTTTATTTCTAATTGATAATATTAAGTCTTTATGATAAAAATTCTTGCGGATCAAAATGCTCGAAATGTTACGCATCAAATAGTATTACCTATATGCATGTCAAATTAAATAACAGAAACCAATTAAATATTTGTTATATCACCATCAGAATAAACTACAGCGAACCACTATTTGTTATGCTTATATTCTATGTCAACATAAATGAACTAACTAAATACATATAATTAGTAATGTATGATTAACAGTTTTTTTACGATGTTGCAAAAAATTGGCATTTTTAGCTGGCCTTTGATCAATAAGGTTTGGAAATTCTCCTTTTTTAATACACTTAATAGAGGTTTACTAATTTTTGCATTAGTGTTAAATAATTTGATTGAACCAATTAAGTACCTATTGATTAAATTTACCTCCACACTGTACGGTCCCGCCTAATTATTCAAAAAACTGATATATAAACCGATAAACTTCTATTAAACATAATTGTTTTATAACTTTACATATTAGCTGAAGACCAGTTAAAAATGTCAATTTTTACAACGTACTACTAAAATGGGCTTGGAATAAAAACACTGCATTTAGAGAGAAATAATTTTGATATGTATTTTCAAAGCTCGTAACAAAATTTATTTACTATGTTAATAATCTGCAAAATCAATTTTCATGTTGAAGAGAGTTACATTTATAAGGATAAATTAATTTGTTCAAACAAAACACGGCTTACTTCTACTTTTTCGGCCCTCTTGTATTAATTGAAAAAAAGTAAAAACCAAATCTTATTCTCTGCTGCAAGGTTAAGTTCTATTAAAAATTAGATTTTAAGATAATCGATCAAAATTACATAAACGATTCTCACCTTTGAACAAAATTTCATTACATATCGTTTTCAATTCTCAACCACAACTTTTCATCAGCACAACTTTTAATCAGATAATACTGTATCACTAACTATAAGCATTAATTACTATACTTTATGTCATGAGCGCCATGCGCAGATCCATTACTCCTTGGTCAACGCCAAAGTACTGTGTAAACAAGAAATTCTGCTAAATCAGTGAATCTTATGTT